AACAGTAAGCCCTAATGCACTGTATCAAGAGAGTTCTTTGAGATGTACGCACATAGAGCTAACCTTTGGCAGCAGCAATTCCAGCCTCAGCAATTACATAGGAGACCCAGTGATTCACACCCTGGCCCTTTGCATACTGTGTACTCATTGAGTTTGGGAATTCTCTGGTGCCATGTTGCCAGAGGATTCAGTAACCTGCCTTCCTCCGTCATAGGTCTGCTTGTCCAATGGAGAAGAGCTATTCAAGCTTTTTATGAAAAGTTATTTGTGTTCATTTTCTCAAGCAGAAAAAGTAAGACCCACAGTTACTGATATTTATTGGTAATAAAAAACAGTAGACATCAGAGTTTAGCAGAGACCTCCAGTAAGATGGTGATGACAGAGATGATTTGTTGGGATCAAGTATGTATCCCATTCCTCATGTATGTCATATCTGATCTTTAGCCATGCAGGGCCAGCACTGCTGTGCCCATTCATCTGAGAAGTGACTGAGACCCCCTGAGCATTCGGGTCACTTCCCTGCATTCACATTGTGTGTGCTGGGGCCACGCAAAGCATTGACTCTGAGACAGCCTGGCTCTTCTGTCAGCTGAAGATGAAGGTATTTTACAGTGTCACCATTTAAACACTGCACGATCCCCAGGTGTCTACTCTGGTTTCGGGCCGTATCCCATCTCAGTCACACTTGGCTCTCTTGGTCACACTTGACCTTTACTTAGTGTACTTGTCTTGCCAATCCAGAGAGCTGACTGTGCCCACCCCTGGCCAGGACCTGTCACGTTCCAGGCAGCTGATTCTGATGCTTCTTGTTGTAGGGCCGTGCTTTCATTTATGCTCATGGGACAGCTCTGCATATTGAATATGACCTCAGAAAACTCACCGTCACATCATAGCTGATCCTCCTGTGTGTTTCTGAGGCTGTAAACCACACAGAAGGAGACTTCCCATCTCTTTCCTGAGGGGCCCCTGGTGGATTTGAACCATAAGAGTCCCTTGGTCTTTGGTCATGTCACCCTGTGAACTGAGCTACCAGAGCTTGTGATGTGCACACCTCCTGTGTGATGTAATGTCAAGGATTGTGGATAGATATGGGGCCTTTAAGAAAGATAAGAAAAAGAGTTCGTAACACAGTTGGTGAAATCAGAACAAAGCCTACAGTCTAGTTATCGTCAGTTCCGGGCTTTGAGAATGTGCTGGGTGTAGTTAAGTACAATTATGTCACCATTGGAGGGGGACCGGCTGGGTGATGAGCATAGGAGAACACTCTGCACTCTCTTCTTGCCACTTCTTATGAGTCTGTATTTAGTTTAAAAGTAAATCTTCCCCCCCCCCAGCTCCAAGCTTTAATATTTAAAAGCCAGAATATATATCTGACACTTGTAACAATTGCAGCGTTTATACGTTGCACCTTTTGTACTTGTAATAAAAATGTTTCTGGTAAAAAAAAAAAAAAAGAGGTAAATAGGAAAGGTCCTAAGTTAAAATGTAAAAGATCTTTTAGATGAAGGGTGTGAGTCCCAGAGTCAGTCAGACTTGCAGGCAAGCACCCCCTGACCAACCCTGCCTCTGGTCCTCACATGACTCTCAGTAGTTCCCTCCTCCACCTGCAGGCTGCCAGCCACCCGGCCACCACATTTGCAGGCCCAGCGGATCTCAGGATAAACATTTCCCAGACTCTGCTACATGGTAGACAATCAGAAGAGCAGCGTCCTCTACATGCACATGTATGCGTGAACACACACTCTGATTCTAAGCGGCACTTTGCTTCCTCACAAAAGCCTCATATTTCAGGCAGGTCCTTTGTGTTTCTTGAGGTCAGTAGTTGAGACGGGAAACCTGATACCGAGGGCAGGCGGAGTACCTGGATAATGGTGTGTGGACTTGAGTCACTGCCCCCAGGAGCCCAGTAACCCACAGCTCCTGGATTAGTGTGCTCAACTCCTCGATGCCTTCTGACCCCTTGTTCTCCCTCGATGGGGATGTTCATGTTCTGTTCTTATTGGAAGTGGCAGCTCTGGGCTTTGTGTGGACGTTGAGGAGGAGCGCTGCTTTGCAAGGCCTTCAGTTGTTAGTGCACACACAGAGGAAGGTACTGGTGTCATGGCCGTGACATCGTTCTTGTTGGGACATGGCGTTGGGGTCACCATCTGGGAATGTTCTCTTTTGTTTTAGGAGGCCAGTTGGTGTATGCATTTTTCTAGTATGTAGCCAGCATGTCCCTAATGTTCTCTGCAGGGAGTCTGTAATGATCTTTTCTCATCCTTCACAGCCCTCCCTAATATCACAAAGCTCTGATTTTCCTCTTGGGATGAACCCATATTTCTGTAAGACTCTTGGTCAGTGGGTAACATCCCCTGAGTGAAGATGGGACAGAAAAGGGAGGTGAAGGTGAAAAGCTCTATCAGTCACTCATCTGGAGTGTTCGATGGTGAAGTCACTATGTGAGTTAAGACTTAGTGTGACTGATGGCCATTGCAAGGCTTGGCACTTGGAAGACATGTTTAAACACAGCTATGTGAGGGAGCTCTGGTGACCTAGTGGCAAGAAGCTGCACCGCAATCCCAGAGGCATGCAGTTCGAATCCACCAGATGCTCTGCTGGAGAAGGAGGGACAGTCTCCTTCCGTACCAGTCAGATCCAATTTGATGGTACACATACAAAAAATAATAAAAATAATAAACACAGTTATGTGGACATAGAGCATGTGGGCATTGCTCCTCATCAGGAGGTCCTCACCTCGCGCCTTCACATCCTGGAGGTGAAGCCCGGTGTGACCTCGTTTCGCACCTTCACATCCTGGAGGTGAAGCCTGGTATGACCTCGCCCCGCACCTTCACATCGTGGAGGTCCAGCCCTGTGTGACCTCGCCTCGCACCTTCACATCCTGGAGGTGAAGCCCCGTGTGACCTCGCCTCACACCTTTGCATCGTAGAGGTCTGACCCCGTGTGACCTCACCTCGCACCTTCACATCCTGGATGTGCAGCCCGGTGTGACCTCGCCTCGCACCTTCACATTCTGGAGGTGCAGCCCTGTGTGACCTCGCCTTGCACCTTCACATCTGTTGTCTTCCATTCTTTCCTCTCTAGGATGAGGGACGTGGCTCCGCGTGTCTGTAGATCCTCCAACTCTAATGGTCCCAGAGCTCAGGAAATTCACTTATTGGCATTTGTCTGTCTTTCTACCTTAGGCAAATAATCCCCCTCCTTCTCCCTGAATCTGATGGCTTCGGAATTTATTGCTTGTTCTCCAGGAACAGGGCTTTCCGTTTGTGTGGGTCAAGACTTACTCTTGCCTCTGATGGGTGTTAAAGCCTGGGGAGGTTGTTTGCGGGCATGGTGTAGTCTGTTAGGAAACACGAGCTGCCTCTTTGGGGGCCAGGGCGTCAGTGATTGCGTCCTCAGGGAAGTACCGTGGACAGGGTCAGCTCTCCTCACCACTGCGTCTCCTGTATTGCCAAGTGCCTTTGGGTTTCCAGCATTAACGATTGTTTTCAGACCCGTCTTCAAAGGTGCCCCTGGGTGGCTCTGGACCTCCAGCTCTGTGGTTAGCAATCGGAGAACCCAGCGCCTCTGAACTTGAGTGTGCACACACAGTGCAGTCATTTGGCATATCTTGTATCCTGCTCAACACCCTTCCTAGTGGGGTGATGGGTGTTTAGCCACTTATTCTTAACATTGTGTGAATTGACAGTTCATATTCATTGTTTGTGAACAAGGAAACCGAGGCTGGCATGATAAATGGCCCAGAGTCACACAGCTGGCATGTATTCTGTGTGCCCTGGCTGCCTCTGCCCGAAGCTTGCTGTAAAAAGCTGAGCACTTGGGTTGGAGTCCAGGACTTACGGGACCAAGATGAACCAGTGTCACTAACCGTGTCGTCGCAGCTTGAATCCATCCCTGAGTGAGGCCTGGTTGGAGGACGGTCCCCACAGTACCATCTGCATCCTCCTCACAGGGTACCACATTCTCCATCGTCTCACTTCAGCATCAGCATCGCCACCTGGACAGGATTCCCCATGCCGATCATCTGGTATATGGGGCTCTTCTGATCTCAGCAGCACATGGGCTTGTAGCCTTAGCCCTTTGTTCTTCAAGTAGCTGGACCTAAGAAGTGAAAACATTCCTTCTTGTACTCCATAGTCCAGCCAGACTTAACAATCAAAGTACCTCCACAAACCCCTGGTGCATTAGAAATGCATCCTCAAGATCTTCCCAGAAGACTGCCCAGAGTCTGTCCAATAGGAGGTGATGGGATGGCCTCTGATCCACAGGAGACAACTTTGGTTTTGATGTCACATTGACTTGGAGTCCACCTTTGTCCATGCCCTTCTTAACACTGCCATTTCTTGTAAGATACAATCATGGTGTGAAATGGGGACGGTACTCCCCATCTTTCTCTCATCACAAGGGCCAAGCCAGCCTGTGGCTGTGAGAGACTCTGAGAGGATGACTCTGACATCCTTAGAATCATGGCTATCCAGCATGCCCCACTGGCTACGTCTTAGGAGCTATGAAGCTGTGGTTCGCTTTGAGGGCTGTTGTTCAAGGACGTTTGGCACAGATGTTTCCCGTTTTATTTGTACTTTCTAGAAATAAATTGCCCTTCACTTTTGACATGGACTTGGCAAAGTCATACTGGGATGTGACCTTCTGAGATTAAAATGTTGCCCATGAGCCAGATTTGATGCTCTAATCTCTCTTTTTTAGGGTGAGGACTGAGGGGAGAGAGGGTTGGCATGAACACAATTTGGAGCCCCCTCTCTGCTGAGCCAAAACAGCAGAGCCCCTCCTGGGGAGTCAGCATCACCCAGGCCCTCAGCTCTCCCGGACTTGGCAGTGAAAGGCCCGCTCCTCCACTCGTTGGGATGATTTATATTCTCTCTGGGCGTCTAATATTAAACAGGGGAATTCCAACATGTTCCATAGCACATTTACTGTAACTCGATCCCATGCACTGAACTCGCTGTTATTTATCATTTCTCTCCCCCCTCTCATTCCAGCATAAAGCCAAGGTGGAAGCAATGACCCTGGACCTCGCGCTGCTCCGTAGCGTGCAGCATTTCGCCGAAGCGTTCAAGGCCAAGAATGTGTGAGTGTTCCAGGGGCGGATTCCAGACCATGATTTCTCGCTCTAGTAATGTCTTTATCAGATGAGCACAGCTGGGAGACGGCAACGTGGTTGCCTTGTCTTGGCATCCGAAGTGGAGGGACACTTAGAGCTTCCCTGCTCAGATGTACCGTATTTCCCTGACACTGGGTCATCTCTCATTATACAGTGCGTCATCAACCTACTAACAGCTTCCTACGCAGGGGGGTGGACATAGGGGAGCGTAGCAGAACACTACAGAGCACCAATGACTGTGGCTAGCAAACGGCAGCCCGCTGTGGGATGCAGCCTGACTACAGATATTTCAGCAAAGCATTCCCACTGCTGGAGGGTCCGTTCTGACTCATGGGGACCCTCACCAGGTTGCCAAGGCTATAAATCTTAAAGGGAGGAGACTGCACCTCTTTCCCCCTGCTATGGTAGCTTCTGACATTTTGAACAGCAGCCAGTGTATTTCTGTTGTTATGGTTAGGTGCTGTCGAGTTGAGGACGACTCATCTACCTATGAACAGCAGCTCTGAACCCTGTCCTATCTAGTGCCATCTTCACACTTCCTGACATACTAGAGCCTATTGCGATAGTCACCGTGTCAGTCCACCTGCTTGAGGGTCTTCCTCTCATTCCTATTCCTTGTGTAGCTCTCAGATGCATAGCAAGTGATATGAAAGACCATGGCCTGAATCAGACGCCCAACTTATAAGGCCTTATAAATAAAGTTGAAAAAATGTATCTCACCCTGGAGGAAAAGGGTGCTTTGTTGCATGTGAGAATCGGTGACCTCTGTTACCCAGTACGATGGAGGGGCTGGGACCTGGAGCAGGCAAAGTCTCTCTTTCTCCAGCCTCTCATGGTTTCCTCTGGTCCAAGAACAGCATTTCAAAACTCGGGCTCATGCACGTGGGAAACGTCCTCCTTATGTCCTCTTTGTCCACCTCTCCAGTTGTCTGAAGGAGAAAGCTTTCATGAGTGGCTGGTGTATTTTCATATTAGCTGTCTTTCCAGGGGAGAGAGGACAGGCCTCAGCCCCAGAGCCCTCAGGGTCAGCCTGCATTGGCTAGCTGCACTAGGAAATGATCGTATCTGATTTCCAAGTGTTTGTTTTTACAGTTAGCTGTTAGAGAACCTGACGTCCGAGGACAGTGTCTCCAAAGATACTGGTTCATTTACGTTTCCATTTTTCAGTTATCCCCCCTCACCCAATTCATTCACTTAGTTTGTATTCCTCCGCTGTCTCTGGAGTCCAGGCACCTTTCTAGACTCTGGGAGGAGAGCAGTGGTCCTTGGCAGCAAGTTACCCTCATGCAGAGCCTGCTCTCAGTGGCCAGCAAGGAGTCTTTTGTTGCTAACAACTCACTTCCCCATAGAATCACTTCATTTGTGTGTCTGTGTGTGATTGTGTGAGAAGGAATAATAATAACTGTTATCAATAACTGTAACAACAGCAGTTAGTGAGTGCTTCTGTGAGCCACACATTGAGGCCGTTTGACATGCATTTTCTAATGAAAGAAATCTTAGGATTGATGCAGGTGATATGTCCATTATACAGAGGCAGAAACTGGCTTTGGAAGGTAAAAGTAAGATTGTGAAGCTGGAAAGGCACATGACCAGTGGATTAAGGGTCTAAGGTCCGGGCCTTCTTTTGGTCACCAGGTTATATTGCCCTCCATTTTCTCTGTTATGGAAATGGGGACTTGGGGGAAGTGAGCAACCTTCCAAGGGTCGTTGGGAAGGGTGGTGGGTTCTGATTCTTTGCTCACTTCCTAATACTGTGCTGAGATTCATCCAAGGTGAGAGGCCATCTCACGTGCTCTTGACATGCTCCTAAGAGGGTTGTACCTGGAGAAGGACATCGTGTATGGTAATTTACAATGTCATTGAATTAGAAGAGACCCTCAGTGGGATGGGTTGACAGTGGCTGCAAGAGTAGACTCAGACCCAGGACTGTGAGGGCAGTGCAGGGCCTGCTGGTGCTTCATAGATGGGTCGCTGAGTTGGAGCCAACTCTGTGGCACCTGATAACAAAGACAGAGCTGCTCTGTCCAAGCCCAGCCACAGGCCTCCGGCTGCATGGACGTGTGAGCCATTCTGCTGGAGAGGGCCAACGGTGACACACTAATGGGATCCTCTTCCCAGGCTCACAGGACCACTGGCTTTGAAGCCATCAATCTCAAGGGCCTTTTATTATCACTGAGATCAAGGTTGGTTTTCATTTTTGTGCTCCAGGTTCAGAAAGGGGTGGTTTTCCTTTTAGAACAACTCCTTAGTGCAAACCCTTCTCTGCATGTCTCAGGAGAGCGCCGCACCATATTTTACATGCCTGGGGAAACATTGTGGAGGTGAAAATACACACATACTAGAGGGTATACTTTTACTTTGAAATTCTGCCAGGGAGAAATCTCTCTAGGACAGATGGGTGACAGTTTGGTGTTTACAGGTCTTTAGGTTCTGAGAACTGTCAGAGGTGAATGCACGTGTTAGTGATGCGGCTGCCAAGAGAACACACCAAGTTCTGTGCTATCACCGCCTCCCATCTTCAGATGTTAAACTTACCTTGTGTGTAAAACACAGTGATGGATGAAGGAAAAGTTCCCAGTTCAGAGCCAAGCTCTTTCCGTGTTGCTGAGCTGAGCAGAGGGGGGAAAAAATCCTTGCGTTAGAGTTCAGTGTGGATGTGTCTGTTCCATTCACCTTCCAGAGCCAGCAGACAGGAGAACACGCAGCAAAGTGACCAGGCCTCTTCCTCCTGTGTGTGTTCCCTCAGTTCATGGTCCCTCTCAAGTGTGCTTGCCCACACTGGGACAGGACGGACCTCTCATTGTGCTTCCTTGAACGGAAACAGTAGCTCGAAGCAGATGCTCAATGCAAGCACTCAGGGAACATGCAGCTCATCTCTCTGCAGGCCCACCTTCCATCTGCCCTTCAGGGCCTGGGAGCAGGTGTGGGTCAGCCTCTCTGATAGCTTCCTCTTTTGTGGAGGGTGGGGCGTTGCTATTTTTGAATTAAGGTCTCCGGATGGAACAAATAGTTAGCACTCAACTGCTAATCTAAAGATTAGGGGTTACCCAGCAATGCTACAGAAGAAAGAAATTTCTGCAGTCTTCTGAAGTAAAGGTTACAGCCCAGTGATGTAGCAATAAATAGAGTCCCCGTGTGTTAGAATAGACTAGACATAAAAAGTGTGAGTGTGTGTTTTTTCTTTTAAAAATAAGCGCTGCTAATATAGATTTTAAAAATTACAGCCGCTGCCTGGTTTTGGTTTTTGTTTATTTTGTCCAAGGGACTGTGCTAAACATTTACACACATATCTTCTTTTTGGCTTTTACAGTAATTCTTATAATTATTGGCTAGTGATGATCATATTTTCACATAAATAACACTCACTTTCTATGTTTATTTGCCAAAGACTTTCCCCCCCACTTCTTACAATATGTAAAAAGGGAGTGAATGTTTAGCAAACAGTCATAGATGGCGCATTTTATTTGGGGGGAAAAAAAACCCAACCAGCTTTGCAGTAAAAAAGCACGAAACACAGAGAATCTAAGTGATTTTATTTAAATGGGTAAATGAGCACTTTATTTAAGTGATCAGCTGGGGATCCTGGATTTAAACTTGTTGTTAGGTGGTAGTGTTCTTAGGTGCCAGTGAGTTGAGAGCGACTCACGGGGACCCTGGTATAGCCGATCTGCACTCTGCCCTATGTTACGCCATCCTCCTCATCTCTGATAAACTGGAGCCCATTGCAGCACTCACTGTGTCAGTCCATCTCATTGAGGGTCTTCCAATTCCCAACAAAGGTGAGCTCACAGAATGTGGGTGGAATTTATCAAAAGGTATCATTCATATCACATACAAGCAAAATACTGCAGAAGGTCATGCAAAAACAGCTAAAATTGAACACTGAGAGGGAACTGCCAAAAGTTCAAGCTGGGTTTAGAAGAGACCCTGGGACCAGAGATATCATTGCTGATGTCAGATGGATCCTAGCTCAAAGTAGACAATGCCAGAAGAATGTCTGTTTGTTCTTTATTCACTCTGGGTGAATTTATTTTAGATTTGAACTCAAATCTGTCTTAATCTAAAAAAAGAAAGCCTTTGTTGTTTCTCCCCACACTTCAGTCGTGTATTTTTGTGTGTGAATGTCATTTTTGGCCACCTGCTGCTGAATGGTGGATTATTTTGACATTTGTAGTGACCACTGAGTCTGCTCTGACTCATGGAGAAAGTTGGCCTCATATTTGAGTCTGACTTCATGACTAATGCACCAGCTAGGTGGGTATCATGTCCCCTTGTTGACCATCTGTGTCACCAAATGAGATGTAATGCTCTCCCTTGCGATTGGCCCCTCTTGATGAGGGGTGTAAAACAAGCATGTATAGACAGTCTAGAAGTTTGCAAGTTCTGCTTGGTGACAGTGCTGATCTATAAAATACCTTCCATCACAGCCACAAATGAAGCACTCGAGGCATAAGACAACATGCATTTATATTCATGATCTTCCTTTACCTCTACTTTCCTCTCTGCCCCTCTTCTGGTTTATTCAAATCATGAATGAAATGAAACATGTTTTTAAAATATCTTTTAACCTGTTTTTCCCTTCCACGTTTTCTTTCCTGATGTATCCTATTTATTGGCATATGGCACTAACTTGCTGGTCAGTAGGCGTTCCCAGCTTGTGCTCTGATGACTGCATCCCTGAGGTGTCATTTAACAGGTTTTTGGGGTCTAATAAATTTCTTGTGACCTCATAAGAGGATTGTACAAAGACTTACCAACAACCTGCACTATGCCGATAGCACAACTTTGCTAGGACTTGAAGCACTAAATGAAGAAGATCAAGACTATAGCCTTCAGTATGGACTATATCTCACCACTGAGAAATAGAAATCTTCACAACTGGAACAATAGGCAACGATATGGTAACTTAAGTAAGCTTGAGATTGGCAAGACTTCAGTCAACTTGGATTCACAATCAATACCCATTG